GTAACCGGTGCTAGTATACTTCTCGCATTAGCAAACATAATCTCATTGGAATAGTCAGTATCATGTGCCATAAGTTACTATAAGGCTTACGGTAACATCCTTAGGAAAACAAAGAAGTGACCTAACAGAGTAACCCTTTTTTCGATAGGTTGTGGATGATTCAATTCATACAAGGTATACAAAGCTAACACACGCAAAAACATGACCTATAAAAATTGCGATTGCACACTATGAACGAATATTAAATTCAATCTGTAACAATTCCCGAAAATAACAGTGTAATTAAACAAGTACAAAGGAAGTTATAATTTTTTATTTGTATCCCATTTTAGTGCAAAATTAGCCTAGAATTCATGCTTGCTTCGTACAAAATATATAGCTTCATCCGTTAAGTGTTAATGATCAATGGTCAGTAGAAAAAGTGATATCCGATTTTTTTTCGAAATGTCTACAGATGTTTTACTTATTATCCGAAAAAAATATATAGATAAGAGATTTCTTACTGTATTTTATCTGTAATAATGCAAATTTAAACTCATCAACTAAATTTTGCATAGACAATGAGCGTTATAGTCTGAGTTCTTTTCAGATCGACATATCATAAAGTTGACCAATATCATATCTTTCAATTGAGCTAGAGAAGATGCGAAACTATCCACATATTTTTGTTTTGCAGTCTAGATAAGAAACGCGGACAAGTTAAAAAACTTCAGTTATTTTTCAGATGAAACTTTCTCTTTCATAGTATAGAGATCGTCGAAGTTTGCACTTTGACTTGAGTCAAGCTTTTCCCGTTCGGAAACCTCATTGTGCTGCATGCGCACTGCACAGAAAAGAAAGTTGAGAACTGAATTCGAACTCCTGTACTGTTTGCTCAGACTGATAGAATATCGCTTGATACCGCCGGTACAACCGACCGGTATACTACGCGATTCGGTAGATCGTGCGGTAATTTCACATACCCATTAGGTTAACCTCTCATTATACTCAGCGGTGACCGCTGCGGTAACCAGCGGTATTTTAGCGGTTCTGATGACATGGGTAGCTTATTTGATGGATTATTTATCACAGAATTATCATTGAAATTCTATATCGAAAATTTACATTTACTAGTAGTTATTACAAAGGTATTACTCATTCATACATACGACAACAAGTGGATGAACTCCATGGGTTAAGTCAACAACAACAGCAAACAACAATATTTGAGCCGGCACGAAAGAAACATAAAACAATTGAAGACCAATTTGCAGATCCGGACAGTGATGATAATGATTTAAATACCATAATAAGATATAAACACGATGAATTAGAAAGATATTTATAACTGAATATTGATGATATCCATAAGCAATCAAATTCCTTGGCATTTTGGAAAGAAAATCAATTGAAATTCCCAAATTTAGCGTTATTAGCAAGGCGACTTTTCTCAATTCCGGCAACATCTACCGGTGTTGAATGGCATTTTAGTGCTGCTGGATTTGTCATTAATGAACGTCGTGCATCACTAAATCCTGACACGGTTGAGGATATCTTGTTAGTTAGATCAGTTCAGAAAATACTTGAACAAAAGTCAAATTTTTTTACTTAGATATTTGGTTTAGTTATCTGTCATTTTTGTTCTCATCTTATATTACTATTATTTGTACATTTTGTTTATTAAAAAAATTACCAGGCTTCTACAGGCCAGGCCAGGCTAGGCCGAGAGTAATGGCAGGCAAGGCCCACGAAACATATCAACAGGCCCAGGCAGATCTTAGCATTACAGGCCTGATGCAGGTAGACCAGGCCTCAAAAGTGTCGGCCTGTTTCGAGCTCTGTTCCACATATCATTGTTTTTTTACGTAGACAAACGGCTAGTTTCAAATGTGAATAATCTTTCTTCATATTATAGTTGACTCGATTGTGTGCAATACACAGATGATGTGTATGTAAAAACGCCAGAAAAGACTGTTGTTGTTGCTAATCTTGAACAGTCCTCTGCACTATCAACTACTTTTTCAAAAGCACCAAATGAAGAAGGTATTCTGAGTTTTCAGCTAAAAATGAAAGAAATAATACAGACTTTAGTCAAAAACCCGCATCCTCTTTTTACCGACGATATAATAATAATAGTAGCAAACAAAATAGCAACAGTAATCAGTCTTTTTTACTATTTTCTCGAAATTAGTTAAATTTTAGTTATGGAAATTCACTATCTCAGAATGGAAATAAAGAACGTCGTGGTCCTCGTCCAATATGCCGTAAAAATGGACAGTGGGGTCGAGATTGTCGTGTCCTTGCGCTATTTGCAAGAAAACGGGACATAATGCAAATACCTGTTTTCAGAGACAAGACAAAAATCAGCGCAGTTTGTCTGCTAGACTCCGTTGTTCCGGTGGTGGTTCTCAAAATCAGCAAAAATCTACCCGTTTAAACTGAAAGAGGAGCAGCTAAGTGAGGATAAGCTTATCTTCCATCTCGTTAATGAATCCTCAATTGTCGAATCTAAAGATAAGGGAAGGACGAAGCTGAGGGGTGAGACCTTAAGATCGCTTGAGAGGTTGGTTGGACGATAGTGTTAGTTCACCAACAACGGTACTAGCTACTCCATTAGATGAACAAAAGAATCTGGCGCAAATACTCGAATTTAGGAAAGCGAAAAAGCTAAAAAGAAGCGGAGGAAGTTAGGAGAGGAAGAGAAAGGTAAAGAAACAACTCAACTTCTTTTATCGTCTAAATCTTCAGGTTTTCTATCACCATCTTTAAATTAGAGAGTAAAATCAACGAAAATGCCATTTCTTCTAATCCTTCAGCTAGTTTTTACACTGTGGTTGTGCCACAGTTAAAAGAAAATTACTTGGAACAGTCGGCATTTCCACTTTACACACCAGTGCTAGTGTCAGTATGGTTAGTTCTGATTATTGGCGACTTTCAAAAGGCACTGAAGCCATTCCTCCTTATTCAGGTGCTGATATTGTTGGTCCTGAGGGGAGTTCTATTGAGCCAGTTGGCTGGGCAGAAGCAGATGTGGCCTTAGCGGACCAGACTGTTCGCCATCCTGTTATTCTTGCACGTAAATTCAATCAAAAAGTGTTGTTTGGGACTGATTTTATGTTCTAAATTACCCAGTTCCGGATATTCAGGATCGAAAGTATTGGTTAAGGGAGGGTCCACCCCCCCTTTTTATTTCAATATGTTGTACAGTTCGATGGGCCACGCCACAAAAACCCCCCTTTATAGGGTTACAAACTTAAAAAAAGTGATCAAAATTGAGTTACAAAGTTTTTTTTCCAGTGTATTTTGCTCGGAAATGAAAAAGTATTTTGAAAAAAAGCTTGCCAAAAATGCTGCAAAAACGATGCATGGTGGAAAAAAGCTTTTGGTACAAAAAATGTGCGCAATGGCCGACTGCGGGGGGTAACGTTGTCTGATTTTTAAAATTTTCTTCCATATGTTTTAAATTTAAATCCTTTTAAAATTTAAAATTTAAAAAAATTTAAATTTCATTTTTTACAAAATTTTTCCATTAACTCTGAAAAATAGGCAAAGCTACCCCCCGTAGTCGACCATTGCGCACAATTTTTGTAGCAGGACTTTTACTCCATCATGCTTCGTTATTGCAGGATCTTTGGCAAGAGTTTCACACTGCAGTTAAGGATTGGGTCATCACACTTTATCAAACTATGTCAGTTTAAAAAGAACGATTGAATATGAATTTGAAGGATTGTAACATGGTGGCTAGATAGCCCAAAGTGTTCTCTGCAATTCTACACAAGACCGATCTCTCTATCTGTTGTGGTTCTAGAATAGCAGGCCTTTCCTCAAGAGGAATGGTAACGAATTACGGGTGACTCCAGAAAATGCCCGCTAATCGCGAACCTTAATAGATACAGAGGTTGGTCTTGCGCAGAATAGTGGAAAACACTTTGGGCTATCTAGTCACCATGTTATAATTAAAAATCCATCTCAGGTTCAGAATCTGGCAACCTCATTGCTTTTCATCTGTCAGGTACACCACCTGAAAAACCAAGATTTTTAGCACCAAATATATGTGAAGATAGAATAAAGCCTTCTCAACAGAATGCTGAAAATCGAACTCTTAATCTCTTTTCGTTCTCGAGTTATTTAAAAAACATCCATGACCGCTGTATTGAGAAAGCATAGTAGAAACCCCGTTTGCCTGAAACTAAGTACAAATAACTGCTTATGCGTAAGTTTTTGAAAAGATAAACACAGGGCTTTGTAGGGCTTGGAAATCTCTGTCGAATGACGTATTATTTTACCTTTTCTAATAAACCATTAATTTGCAAATAAAACTGTAAGGTACCAGAGTGATATTAATTATTATTCATTAGTATGATAAATTATAAATTATTGTCTCAAAAAAACTTTTTTTCAAATTTTTTTCATTAAACCATAACAACAGACCATTGACTATCAAGCAATGCGTAAATGACTTTTCTACGATTATTTTGGACTAAGCTACAAGTTTTTTAAAATGAGGACTAGGACTTTAAATTTTTATTAAAATTTAAACTTAATTAATTAATAACTCTGCGAATACTTATCAGTTCATCGAACGAACTTAAGGATATATGTAGTCAGGTGTCCTCTTTAAATTGACAAAGTTTGAAGGTACATATATGGGGGGTGGCCCCTCCCCCCCTTAAGGGGGGGTCCCCCCATTTAGATTTTTCTCCAGCGTTCCCAGTTTGTAGAGGATACTTCGAAGTATATGTCCTGACGCTATTTGGCTGAGAAAAAAATTAATTACTTAAAAAAATGTTGTTAAATTTTTGAGCACGGGGTTATTACAAAAAAAATTCCTGTCCATTCTCCATTCATCACAAAAGCTTGGTTCTTGCCTAGATCAATAGAGAAATGTGTGGAGAATATTTACGACGAGAAAATATGTAAAAAGTTTTGTTCTTTCCTTCCGGTTATTGACTAATTAGTACTAATTAACGTTAATTTAGCCTACTCTACTACCTTAAAGTCCCATTTGCAAAATAAGGACTCAACGAAAAATTTCAAGTAATATCTCATCTGATAGAGAATTTCACGAGCTACAAGACAGGCTACCTTAGAAGTTTTAGAATTCATTTTTGGCTGCTGAGTAGGCCTGGTTTCTTTCTCCACTAAAGAATTGATCAGGCTTTATGAGCGCATGAAGTTTTTTCACACCTTTTTTCAAGACTTGGG